CATCAGTGAGGCTTGGAGTGTGGTAAAGGGACGGTTGGAGCCACGCATAGCCCATGAGGCGGGGGTGCATCGAGACACCCGGTGCAGAACTGGGGCCAGGGTACAACAGAAAACCGTGTCAAAGAGGACAAAAGGCAGCCTCCCTTTTATATATATGAGATCAGGACGTGACGGGTGAGATTTGAGGGTGCTTTGAAGCAAACTTGGCATGGTAAGGGGATGCTAGGGGGATCATGGCCACCCCTAGGACCCGCGCTGTGACAATTAGGTTGAGAAATCAAAGAATTAGTGTAGAGGAGAGGATGAAGGCAGGGCCAGATGTAGGAGGGGTGCAGTTGGACCCCCCTCTTGGATTCCTGTTCCACCCAAACTTTAAAACCAACTGCCTGGGAGGGCATTTCTAATCGGGCAGTGGTGAGGGAGTCAGTTGGCTTCATGGTTCATTACCATCTCCTTGATTCCTGCTAATTTCTCTCCACTTCACATCTATCCTTTCTAATGAGCTTCATGTTCCACTATTCAAACTATCTTTTCTTTTGCAATTTTTTCTGTCTGTTAGCTGTTCCTTGTAATGTCTCTTTTCTGTTTCATAGCCTTGCAGACTGTCAGATGTAGAAATGATTGACAGTGAAATATTGGAGGCACTGTCAAGAAGATTAAGAAAACTAGATTTTCTTTTGTGAATCTGAATGAGACATACATTTAACTATAATGACTACAGGACTAATGACATAATATCTTTTTGATTATTTTGACTATTTTTGGCCTAGTTGGTTAGATGTTGTTTTAAAACTTAATATATTATCTAGCAAATTAGTGTGCATTCCAATTGTTATCTTTGTTTTTGCTTTAATCTTAAACTGAACACTGTAGCACTAGTCCTGTAGCATATTAGTAAAATTTCTAGTTTCTCTTTAAACTGAGAAAAATGGGTGTTGTTATATGTGGTGATTTGCCACATCTTCTGCCACTCCCTTTTCAAATCCTACAATTGCCCCTGGGTGATGGTAACTTGGGGTATGAGAAATGGGCCATATTTGATTCGTATTCAACCCAAATTGGGGACAGTGATTTGATTTGTTGATCTGGATCACTGTCCCCAATTCGATTCGGGTGAATCCAAATCTGAAGATTCTAATCTGGAGACCCTTTAATCTCTTCCGATCAAATCGGAGAGATTCGGAATGATTTGGAGATTTGGACATAAACACAGCTTTAAATCTTTCCGAATCTCTCCGATTCGATTTGAAGAGTTTAAAGGGTATCTTGATTTGATTTGGATTCAGAGATTTGGGCACCGAATCGGGCCATATCTCCGCTGAATCGAATCGGGGACTGAAGCTTCGCACAGCCCTAATGGTAATGTAGGAACACTGAAGATAGGGTAATAGAGAAACGAAATACAGGTGGGAACATTCGAAAATGAATCTGGAGGGGATTAAGCATACAATTTTAAGTTGGAAGAGTCGTAGGAGCTAATAATAAGAGGATTTGGAAACTGACTTCCATTATCTGTCCACTTATTGCTCCATGTGCATTGCCTAGCACAGTGATTCTTAATTAGGTTACTGTGAGACCCTTTTAAGGGTGTTGTGGGGTGCTGCATAATATTAGCACTAATGTGCACTGACCTACATATGAATCGCAAGATATTTCAAATAGGAATTTATAATGTCAAAAAATACTGGCCTTTCTGAGTTCTTTGCTACAGAAGAATTGCTCTATTATTTTTGTGTAGTCAAGGAATGAGAGAAAGCTAATAGCTGGCATTTTCTAAGGGGTGCCTTGAGTCTAACAAGGGGTGTCTCAAGTGTAATGAGATTGAGAACCACTGGCCTAGCATAATAGAACATTTCAAAATAGAAGATCAGAAAATATTAGCAACTTGACATTAAAATCTAATTTGGCAGTATATGCAGGATAATAGTTATTGCTGTCATTTACATAATGGTAATTGTTTTTATGGTTCTTGAGATAAAAGAATTAAATGATTTGTCATATCTAGTTGATATAAACAAGCATTTTCTATCAACCAGATATATCAACTCTCAAAGTCAGAGTTGAGGAAAATACAGCAACTAGGTTAAAAGATTTGTCCTTAATTTGACTATAAAATGTCATATCAGACCCAGAATTCAATGGATCACTAAACCAGGGTGAATAGGAGTAAGGCTTTCGTAAAGTAACTGGCAACCTGTAAATGTTTAAATTCACTGTTAGAATAATTTTAATTAAAAATAAGCAGTACATGTCTGCTGTTGATAGTCCCAAGGAAGTCAGTCAAATGACTGAACTGGGAAAGTTAGTAGCTCAGTACATGGAACCAGAATTTGAAGTGATAAACTTGTTTTTGTACACAGTCAAGGTGGGAGAGATTGAAGTGTACTAGTTCTAAAATATTTATTACCAGAAATAATCAGTTCAGTTAGTTAATTTTAGACAATACTTCCTTTGTTTAACATCAGTTTTAAATGTAAAATAAGTTATGAACTCTGTACTTGTATCTGGCATGGTTAACCTGACTTTCTAGTCTTTAATTGGCTGAATTCTAGAAGTTAATTTCAATTTCCATCAACAGTAACTTGAAATTAATCACAAGTGAAAGAGTTAATCATATAGTAAATAAGGAATATAGCATTCACCGTAATAGCAGCACAAAATTAAATTACAAATCAGAATAAATATACGTCAAGCTGCGTAGTTGCTTGAATGTGTTTGTAGTGTGTTCTGTTAGTTATAAAGAAATGTCAAAGTAGGGGCAAAAGCTATAGCTAGTTGAAGGTCAGTGTTGTTGTCAGTTGTTTCTGTCCAGTGAGAATCAACTTTTCTTTAGGAAGATAACTAAGATAGCAGTATAAAATGAGGTTAAGATGTATAATTTAAATCAAGATTCTTTGCTTGTTGAATTAAAAAAAGTTCTTACACAGGGTGAATGGATTATGTTTGGGTATCTGTATTGAAGTATGCTGGTGATTAGCTTTTGATAACATTCTAGCCTGTTAATGTATCTGGTATGATTTGTGGAATATGAGAACATGTGTGTTGTATTGGTGACTAATATCAAGCCCGTCTAGAAGCCCTTTCTTCTGATGAGCAGATTTTTATGAAGCACCTGTTAGGCTTTATTGGAAGGAACAATTTGGCATAGAACTAAAATACTCTTTTAAACAATGGATTTGCCAATGCCAGGAATTTATAAAAATGACTTTGTAATTGCATAATTCATATTTTCATTGTTGCACCTGTTTTTTCAGTTGTTATAGGTTGTTAAACATGGAGTCTACTAATGCTTGTTAATGTAAGTGTGTTATTAAGAACAAACTAATAGCATTTTTTGCTCTTTAAACTCCAAAATAGTTGACAGCTGGTGGGATTTTCATGCTCATCAGCCCATAGAAATGATTTTACATTTTCACAAAAATTTTAGCTGCATTTGCCTTGAGATGCAACATAGTCTCCTAGCATATTTTCCCCAGTTCTCTCCAGACACTTTATAATGATTTATTTACCATATTTACCATAATCTAAGATGACTCTGAATTTGAGATGACCTCTGAACAATTAGATTCTAGACGCAGAAAATTTTTTAAGTTGTTTCCATGATGAGGAGCTCCCCACCCCCTATTTTGTATGTGGGGGTCCTCTTCTTAGATTCAGGTGAACATGGTAAACATCTTTTTAGTTTTAAATGCATGCAAGTATCTATTAAATAATGTGAAATATATTAATAAATGCCTTTCTGCTCTTAATTAAATATAAATTCATAATGAACTTTCTTCTCTAGCACCTAAAAGTATGTCTGGATTTTTTAGCTTCATTATTCGTGGCTTTTAGTTCCAGGGTATCAAGGAATGTTGAAATCATGCCTCAATTAGCCATGACAACGTTAAACTGCTTCTTCGGGATCACTTAAATGATGGCATTTGCTTGGATGTATAATAACTTGCATTCTTTTGGAGATATCTACAATATGGGTTGCCAGGGGAGCTGGGTAGTTTTCATCAAGGCTAAAAACAGAGTTTTATATCAGTTTATATCAGGGCCGACTGTACTGGGCTTTAACTGGCATAAAAACAGTTTTGTGTACCATGAATGAAGATTAATTTGAATTAGCCCTGTGTGCATGTGCATGTTGGGGAGATTGTTATCTTTGTTCTTCACAAGTACTTAGGGCGGAAAAATAGGTTTGTATCTCTGGAGGATCCTAGAATTAAAAAAAGGCTTTATCCAGGGGAAATCCAGTAGTCTTTTTAGCCCTAGCTTTATCCATCAGTATTGAGAGGGGTCCATTTCAGCTTTAGCTATCAGTATTGAGAGGGGTCCATTTTATAGGAGTTGGGAGTCAAGAGTTACTTCTTTTCATTTTTGAGCCAAAAGTGTGTGTGTGTGTGATGTATAAATATTTTACATTATTTATTTTCTATCATTACTGCTGTAAAGTGTCTATATTGTAAGGCCATTAAAGTAAGCAATAAAAAGACTAAAATGAAAAGAATTTATTTATATAATTCACTATTAGGTTGCCATTGTGAATGCTTAGACAAATATTGTAACTTCTAAAATTTTTAGTTTTATTAATACTATCATATTAAACTCTTTCATCAGTTATGAAACTCTTTTATCAGTTACTGTGGCTGTAACTCAAGAGAACAAATTCAAGTGTAAGACAAGCTTTTTGCCCAGAGTCTGTGGTGGTTTAATATGCTGTGGAAATGGTTTGATCAAGACATCAATTCAGTTTTAGGTGCTATATACTTTTTCACATCCTGCGATTACAGTAAATGCAAACTTGCCAGTTCTTCCTACACTGATATATTTTAAGGATCAATTTCATTTTTTCCAGAGAAGGTTAAAAGAAACTGAATAACATAATACAATGTTTTGAAACCAGTTGATACTGGTTGGGTTCTACTTCTGGTAACTGGTGTTCTGCAGTGGCTGCAGCATAGGGACAGGAACTCTGTTAACCCTCAAGACTTGGCAACTGTTTTGTTTTTCAGGGCACCCATCATGTTTGAAATTCTGTCCTGAGTTAACAACAAATGTAAAGGCCTTAAGATGGCAGTGTATTGAATGCAAGACATGCAGTGCATGTAGAATCCAAGGCAAAAATGCAGTAAGTACTTTAATATCCCAACATCCTGAGTTCTGTTCATATTCACCCTGCAAATGTTTGCCTATCACATTAGCTTTACCATTTGAAACTATTAATACTTTGTTCCAAAGGGTAAAAATATATATAGTTACAGGGAGTGTGCATTTTTGTCAAGATAAAATGCAAAATATCAATGCAGTCTCTAGTAAGATTGTATTAAGGGTTTTTTTCATTCTCTCCCTAATTTTAGGATAATATGCTTTTCTGCGACTCTTGTGATAGAGGGTTCCACATGGAGTGCTGTGACCCACCACTTTCCCGAATGCCAAAAGGTGATACTATAACTTCTTTCATGGTATCTTCCTATACTGATGACTTCATTAGAAACAGGCTCTTGATTGTTGTGTTAGTTTCAGCTTTTTAGGTTGGGTCACCTGCGTGGTCCCAACCATGTTGAACTCCGAATTTCATTACCCCTCCCCTCCCCCCCCCCCAAGATTTATTGTTGACAAATCAATGATGTTCCCACTGGTCAGTCTCTTGCCTAAGGCAGGCAAAGATAGTCTCTTGATATTTCTCTGGGTTATTACTTTTTTTTAAGCTGTTTGAAAATCATAGGTATTGTACTTCTCCACTTGTGTTGTAGTGGTGCTTGGTTCATTAAAAACTTTCTCCGGAAGTGAAGATTTTAAGCCATCTTTGTTTCTTAAATGATGATTGTTTTGCTATTAATTTACACATCTTTTGCAGTGAATGGGTAAGTTGGAGTCACTCTATATTAGAAATTTGGATCAAACTTTGTGTGGCATTTCAAGTTTGCACATTATCTAGATGGGTCCATAGTGCCAATTATACCGAATATAGTTTGTATAAAATGTCTATTGTTTTTGGAGTGTGTGCAGAGAGTGTTTAGAGAGAGAGTGGCAGAAATTGTGCTCAGATTTTACTGAACTGGACACGTCTATACAGAGCTTAAGCCTAATAACCTACTGTTTACAGCCTTATTCAAATTCACTGATTGTTAATATGGGTCTAAAACCATTTTTCTTACCCATAGTGATGGTAATTTTTCCCAAGAATGGTGATGCCTACATTGTGGGCACAGACAGAAGTGACAGTTTTCGTCCAGTCTGGCCACAGAAAGTGGCCTATAGCCATGACCAAATCAGGGAAAAATTTGAACCCTTGTTGCATGAGGGATCAGATAAAGGCGTTTCAGAACAGAGTATCTTCTGTAACTTTTGTCTGCGCAGCCTTCCAGCTTGTCACTGTTTTCAGAATGGGAAGGGTGAAAGGGAGCAGAGGAAGTTTGGTCTGGGGGTTTTTTACCCCTTGCTAGAGGGGGGGCAAGTGTATTGCAGGCCCCAAGTTGGGGGGACTCCAATTCACCCACTTCATCCTCCAGCACCGGCTGGTGAACCCCTAGAATGAGCTCCCTCTGCTCCCTTTCCCTCCTCCCATTCTGAAAACTTTGCAGCCTCACAAGAAGGAGAGGCCATTGCTAGGGGGAAATGGCTGCAGATTCTCCTCCCCCCGAAACCAACAATGGACTTCCACTGGGGGGGGGGGTCATTTTAACTTAGAACACTTCCTGCAAAGCGTTCTTAGTTTACAGCGGGGAGCTGCACTTCTGTCTGTACTGTGTGGCTTTGGAACTGCAGGTTCCTATGTTTAAAAACGTCCCCCTGAAATTTTCCTAACTGTTATGACTCCAGATGCCATTAGATGAAAACTGAAGAGATGAATTTTCAAAGAATCGTAAGTTAGCAGGGCATTTTACACTGTCCCTGTTGTGCTAGTTAAAATCAGTTTGCCAGAGTTGCCAGGCCTGTGTGTCAGAAGCTAGCTGTAACATTGTACCTACCAGAGCATAATACTGAAAATGGATGCTTTTTTTTCTACCTTCCTCTGAAATCATATTGTAAACTAAGTCTGTAGCATGCTTCTTTGATTTTTTTATATACTCTTAGCTCGGTTTAGTAATATGATCTTGACTTTAAAATAGTTTCAAATGCTAATACAGTAGAAGCTGGATACAAATGCACTCTTTGGGAACAAGGACGTCTGCTTTTATCTAAACTGTGCTAATAACAGAAGTTAACCTAGCCTTCCATTTTCTAGTGCTGTATGGACAGGTGATACATCACCCATATTGTGTGCAATTTAATTTTTATTTGGTTTTAGCTACCAAATGCATGCATGATAATTATGTACAATGTCTGCTACTTATTAAAATCACATTAGGCAGAGCATTTTGATGCTAATAATAGGTAGTACCATACTACACTCACACAAAGCATATGTTCCTATGCCATTGCATGTAATATAATGATTTTTACCAAAATTGTTCATTTTTATTGGAAATACGGTAGTGTGCCAGAAGTTTGGTTGCATCAGGTTCAGGTATTCCATAAGTTTGCTTTTTTAAATTCATGCTACATCCTGAGAGATTGCAACACCTGAAAGTTTATTGGCTACACAGGGTTGACACAGACATTTTTGACAAGCTGCAAGGCCTCTTTGTCAACGTGTTAGACTAGTAAAGATAGCTGACATAGCTCTGTTTTTATTTTTGCCCAAATTACAAACACTTCATCACCAGTACAGCATATACCATAAATTTGGGATTACAAGTATCCCATCAGGGTGTATTTATATCAGTTGTTCTGGACTTGGAAACAATTAGTTTCCTGATTACGTTGCTTATAGCTGAATTGTGCATTTGTCAGGTGTGCTTATGTCTCCCTTCTGCATTATGAACCCTAATGTTGACTATTAAAATACGTTTGCATTGCTCAAACGTAATGTATAGGCAGATATGTGGTGTGGAAAATGTTCCAGTGCCTTATTTTTCCATGGGAAATTTTCCATTTATAAAAATTCATTGTTTCATAAAATTCATTTGTGACAATGAATGGATGCCAATATAATATTAGGCCATCTTGGCAGTTTCAAAGTTGCAAATAATGTTTTTCAGATGATTATCCCTAGGAAGTGTGAGAGAAAGTACATACATATATGTTTTATTGATTTGTAAACAGGAGGGTAAATACACTCACATAATAATCCAAACCAAAAATCAGCAAACACACAGAGCAGTGTCTCATTTCGTTTCTTGAGTTGGGAAGTTGGAAGTGTTTGAATAAGATCAGTTAGTGCTTTTGGTTTGAAGTAGTCATAATAATACCTAATCAGAAAAAAAACTAGTGTGTGGCATCATTATAATGAAGTTCAAGCCACTGAAGGAAGGAAGAAAATTGGTAGATGTAAATATTGCAGGCAGGAGTATGCTAAGAATGCAACAAGAACGAAGAAACATTTAACAACACGTAAAAACTGTCCTGAAAGAGTACAAGCCATATACAACAGAGTGGTGGAACAACATCATCTGAGAAAAGTCTACTTCAGGAATCCCATGTAAGTAAACAAATTAATATGTTAAACAAACAAAGTGTAGGCTAGCATCTATATTGTTTTAAAAAATTATAAATTGTTAATGCAACTCTAGACCATTCTTTAATTTTTTATTTAAAATATTTGTATCCTGCTTTTCTGCTTGCACTCAAAGTGGCTTAGGCTTAACAATAATTTTTTTTAAAATTACATAATAGATAAATAGTTAACTATTTCAATGCAGCAGAGTGAACTTAGTCCTCTGGCCAATGGCTGTACAGTCCCAGGGCAACTGAGCAGCAAGTTGAACAGCAGAGTGTTCTTTCTGGCAGGGAGGGGGGGAAGCAAGCTCCCTGCCACTTCTCCTTCTCCTTCCGATGGATGAGGCCAGACTACAAAAGGCTAAAAAAATCTTTTCCCCTTTTGTTGCAGGAACGTAGTAGCTCAAGTGAAATAGCAGATTTGCAAAAAATGGAAAATGAAAATGGTGAGCTGCCAGGTCTGGGGGAAGAAGCAGGAGCCTTGCTTTCAAGATCATTGTCACCAGATATGCGATCCACCATGAGTAGCTGTTCAAGACAGTCAAGCTTTTTATCAAACTTTACCGACAGCATGTGAAAAGAAGATCAAGAAAAAGCAGATAAGACATTAGCTCAAGCTATATTTGCAAGTGGTACACCTCTTTCCATAACTGAAAACCAATACTGGAAGGAACATTACGAACTAGTTCACCCATCATATAAGTTACCATCACATTATCGCTTATCACGTTCTCTCCTAGATAGAGAGTGTGACAGAGTTCAGACAATGGTTATTCAAAGGATTGATCAAGCAGAATCACTGACTCTGATGTCAGTTGGACGGACTGATGTACAAGGAAATCCTTTATTGAACATTATGTTCGCAATACCTGAACCAATATTTCTGAAAGCAATTGCTACCAAATCTTCTTGTCATGCAGGCGAATGCATAGCCAAATTACTGAGTGAAGAGATTGAAAGTGCAGGTCCCTCCAGGGTACAAGGCCTTGTAACTGATAATACAAGTAACATGAAAGCTGCATGACAAATATTAAAGCCAAAATATCCTCATTTAATAGTATTTTGCTGTCTTGCTCGTGGATTGAATTTTCTGGCAAAGGACATAGTAAGTGTGAATACAATGAAGACAGTACTGGCAAACTGCAAAGCGATTGTGAAGGTATTGAACAATCATCATGTTGCTAATCAGACTTTGAAGCAATTACAGAAAGAGAAGCAGGGGAAGAAAAGTGCACTTTTATTGCCAGGAGAAACTAGATAGGGCTCAGCTACAAAGCGTTTGCTGCTCACAAAGAACTGCTTGCAGTGTGCTTCAACAGATGACACAATATCCTAGATTATTCCTGTGAACATTCAGAAGCAGATTCTTGACAATGATGTGTTCTGGGTTCAAGTTCAAGGTCACTATCAAGAAACTTGAAGGAAATACAGCACGCCTTGCAAATATTCCAGAGATATTCAGACAACTAAATGAAAATCTAATTGAGCTTTTGCCTTCTTCACCTCTATCCAAAAAAGTAGTAGTAAAACAAATGCTTATTAAGAGATCTGAGTTTTGCTCTCATCCAGTTCATCTGGCAGCAAACCTTTTGGATCTTGAATACAGAGGATAACATTTATCAGAAGATGAATTATTTACTGCTTGCAATACAATTATGGTAATAGCTAAGAATGTCCCCAACATCGACGAAATAGCTGATAGCTGTGGTGACAGACACTGCCGAGTACTGTGCAAAAGAAAAACTTTGGAGCAAGTACCTCATTTGGAGGGCAGCAGAAAATGTTTCCTCTCATGTGGTAGAAGGGATACTGTAACACCCGACTGTTGTCCAGGATTGCTCTAAGCATTCCACCAACAGCATCTTCCTGTGAATGGAACTGGAAGGCTTTCAGCTCATTCAAGACAAAAAAGAGGAATAGACTAACAAATGAACGCACTGCTAAGCTTGTTTCTATTTCTCAGAATCTCTTGTTTCAGGAGAATCAGTCTGAAGCACAATTAGTGGAGATGTAATATGATGATAAGTTGCCCTTGCCCATAGACTCATTGGTAAAACCATTCTTTAACAAAAAAGAATGTGGTTCAGGTAGTTCTGAATCAGATTTTCTTCAATTTGATTCTGAAATGAAACTAATTAAGTAGTGCAAGTGATTTTACAGATAGTGATAGTGAAACTGGAGGTGCTGCAGTGACCTCAGTGGAAGAGAGTTAAACTCTGTTGAAGTAGATGAGTGGACCCTCAACCATGGCATATCATGCACAGCTCTTTGGGTGTGCTAAAATTAGTGTGTCCACAGTTTTCAGTGCCTTTTTTTTTTTTTCTTAAATTTAAAAAAACAGTGTAAGGGAAGTACGTGCTATTGTGTATTATCTTTCCATTTTTACAAGTATTCCAATAAAAATAATTTATTTCTACATAAAGGTTTGAATTTGTTTGAATATAACATTTAAACCATGTTAAGTGTGCTGTATTTAATTTTTTCCTAATGAAATATTTCAATTCAAATACTTGTGGGTATTGAGACATAAAATTGACATGAGGTACTTTTTTAGTTTTGTTTACTAAATATAAGTAAAATAAACATGCTAAATCAGATCACGTTCTTTTTAGGGCATTGGAAGAATTTCCAATTCAGAATATTCCACAAAACCCACATCTCTATGTGTAGGGGGGCTTTATTAAAATACAAGGCTCCCCAGTAGAGTTAAGATGCTATTTCTTGCATCATAAATAGAATCTAAATGTCATTTAAACAGACTACGAAGTTGAATCCTTGAACCTTACTGGTTGAAGTATGATATAGGAGTGTGATTTAGTAGACAGCACTGCAAGATCAAAATTTTGGTATAATCCCCTGGAGTGCTATAATATTGTATGCTGTATTGCATTGGTTTAGGAACAGCACATCTTGTATCTGGCCATAGGCGTAGACTATACATGAGTGGGTTTTTTCCCCAGTCCTATGATTCCATGATTTGTTCCACTGTAGATATCATAGTATAGATAGGCTTTTAAAGAATCAGAGTATCATTAAGGCCTTCCCTCCCTAATAAGGATAACCTGTCAATTTTGGGATGATTGCTAACCAGAAAAATAGGAACCTCTTAGGCAAATTGTGACCCTTAACTTGATGAGTGTATGCTTTATGGCATGTTGTCATGTACCACCACAACAGAACCTTTATGAGGTTTTCAACCACAGAGCTTCTGTTATGTTCTTGGCTGAGTGGTTTGTATGATAATCCTAATGACTGTGTCCTCTACACAGTTCTTCACAGGTTCAGATTGATTCCTCCAGAAAAATTAAATGAGGGTAATTAACACTGAAATTGACTCTGAGAAGACAACAGAAGTCTTTTCGTGTGTTACTTTGTTTTTCAATTAAAAACTTGATCTGCTGCCTCTTAGAAAAAGGCCTGTCTGAAAGTGGAAAGAAGAAACAAGTTTAGAATAGGAATCCTGCTTGTGGCTATGTTCCTTGTTACTGGAAGGGGGTGGGGACAAGCAACTGCTTCCACTCAGCTGTGAAATACGAAAACTGATTTCTTCTTCCTCTGTCCCTTAGTCCTTCACCTTCTTTGCAAGAACAAAACCTGTTGGCCTAAAGCACTTGGCACATAGCTTGTTACATCTTGACTATAAATAGCATACAAACTGAATGTGTGCAATTGAATCAATTAATCTTTTTTTTTAATGCAGGGATGTGGATTTGCCAGGTCTGTAGACCAAAGAAAAAGGGAAGAAAGCTACTTCATGAGAAAGCTGCCCAAATAAGGCGACGATATGCAAAACCTATTGGACGACCGAAAAATAAACTAAAGCAACGAATGTTGTAGGTTTCTTTTTTAATTTCCTCTGATGTTCCTGAAAACGTAATCAGATAGCATTTTAGGTGATGGGAGTTCATTTAAAATTAAACTACTGTTTTGGCTCAGTAGTGCAATCTGAAAAAAAAATCACATGGAGAGAAGCACTCATTATGCAAAGACTTCAATGTGATAGAAAATAACTTTAATTATAGTTGGTATTTTTGAGTCTTCTGATGACAGCAAAAGATGCACTAAAAGTTTGCATGACTTAAAAATCATTATGGAATCTAGAGATGGACTTAAACTTCAATTTATGTATGAATAGTATAGTGTCCTGAATACCTGTAATGAAACAAACTGTGGTAATGAATAGTGACTGCAGTGGATTGAGTTGACCATACCTGACTTATCCACACAATCCATAACAAACATTAAAATTACTCCGCCACAGCAAAAAGGTTTGCAGGTTTTCGTTCAGGTTATTTTGTAGCTCCCCACTCAGGAAGCTGCTGTGTGCTAAGGTTTAATTTGCAGAAATATGATTTGTTTAAAAATACAACTTTCTACCCCATAATAAGTTAGTACTAGTTCCTCCAACATCATCTTATAATCAGCCCCCATATTGAGTTCTTTTTCTCAGTTGAAATGTATTCTGTGAGGCCCAACAAATGGTTCCAGAGTTAATCTGGGAAAAGTTATTCTTTGAGTAGACACTGAAGAAGGCAGGTAGATTTGCACCTTTATATACTAACTCAATTAGAGATGTACAGCAGAGGTCTTACTTCATCAGGTGATGTGAAGAGGGTCCTTTTCCAGAATCTGATGAAGTAAGCCCTCTGCTTATGGAAGATTATACTATACATCTCTGATTTAGTTAGTCTATCAAGATGCAGATCTCTTCTCCCTTTTGCCTGACTCCAGACTAATGCAGCTAACTAGCTCTCTCTGCTAATGAATAGACACTGGGCACTAGAGGAGGCAGCTGTTGTTCCTCTTACTTATCTCTGGGCCCCTAGATACCTGGCTATGTTAGGGTATGGACAAACCTAAGTTTTAGCCACTTTAAAAGGGTAGGAGCAGCTGCTTGTCTGGAAGCACACACAAGCTATTAGGCTGTAACTGCTATATCTTCATGCCCTGTAGCCACACATGTTAGCTAAATCACCCTAACTTTGACGCTGGATAAAGCAAGGTTAAAGTTGGAACAGTTTTGCTACACCTGTATTACCACAGGATTATTCAGTTGTAACAGTTGCAACATAAAAGGTTGTATCAATATCATGTCCAAAAGTGATACCAATCATTAGATCTGTTTTAGGTTCTTTAGAGAGATTCATTTCTCCAGGAAGAAATTTCTTCTGGTAGAAAAATAGACTAGGAGAGTGGTCTGTAACAGCCCAGCAGGTAAGGTAGCAGGGCTGGAGCAGGGGCAGGCCCTGCATAGCCGGCACAGGGAAAGGGATGGAGCCTGATCCAGCCCTGCTACCTACCTCAGAGCTGCAGTTGCTGGTGCTGCCCCAAGTTTGGGGGTGGGGGCATGTGTCCCCCCTTTCTGTGCATGGCAGAGGCAGCTCCCTCTGCGGACTGGGCTTTGTGCCCCGAGCGGCACTACATGTACTGCCCAGGCCTCTGCCCCTTCCCTCTCGTGCTGACTGACCTGTTGAGCTGGGGGAGGTGTGCGCTCGCATGCATGCATGCGCTCAGTCCCACTGTACCCCCCCGCCCCCCCCCAGCCCAGGATCGACCTCAAGAGGCTCCAGATTCTACTGGTTAATCGCAGTTGACCGGCTGGAGACCACTGGCCTAAGATGTGGACTCTACAGACTTTTCTCCAGTCCCTGCTTGGAGAGCTTCAAAGGTAAGCTTTCCAGCCAGGGGTTACTAGAGAACTGTTCTCTGGGCCATCCCCATCCTTAGTGGAGCCCATTAATTGGCAGTCTGTCCTCTCCTTTCCCTGGGAAGAGAAGCAGGTTGTCAAGTGTTAGTTGTGCAGCTGCTGGAAATCAGCAGCTGCCACAGACAGACCTGGGAGGGAGCCAGCCCCGGGGGAATGACTGCCCCATGCCTCCAGTCAGCTGATTGATAGGAGGCAGGAATTCTCCAGGGGTGTGAACCCTCCCAGTTTTCCCTTAAAGAAGAATAGCCACGACACCTTCCATTCTTAGGACTGACCTAGGGATGTGTAGGGAGGGGAGGAGGGAGCACTTAGCCACTGCAGCAAGGCTCTGGGACAGCCCCATGGTGACCTGGAGCACTGCAGAGTGAAGCAGGGGCATTTTGTCAAGGTGGGAAGGTCCCCGCACTTTACTGATGCAGCACAGCAACCTGCCTCACCCCACTTTGCTGTGGGTCAAGTGGGCAACAAAGGAAAGCTGGCAGCTGGGCTTGGGGAAAACCTCTGCATGTTGTGTTCCTGGCCCCTTTGGCTTTTAAATGACCACATCCTCTGCTCAGCTGAACAGCAGTGGGACGCAAGGGAAAGCTGGCACAGCCAAGCCAGGCTTGGAAGTCTGGCTCACCATCCATGCCACTCAGCTGAACTTGGAGGGGGCAGGGGGAAGTAGGCAGGGGGCACTGCTCCCTGCTCTTGGCTCCTGGTGCTCAGGACCTGAACAGACAGAATGGTGTGGGAAAGCCCCTGCCTGCTTCCACCCCAGGAACTCCTGCTTGTCACAGCGGGGGCTGCCCTTCCCCTCTCTTCCTGTCAGTGGGAGGGGGAACAACTGCCCCATAACCCTTCTCAAGAGGGTGACCGCAGACTTAGGAGAGTACAGAGGCCTTTTCCCCAACTCTAGTCCTCTTGTTCCTCAGGAGGAGTTAAATGGGGAGAAGGTGTGCTCCTGGGATTCAGCTTCCTGGGATAAATTCTCCTAGGAATGATTTAACCCTGGTTGTTCCTGAGTTATTCTTCTCTTGGAATGGCTGTTTTTGCTCCAGGAGAAAAAGCTTGAACATCTACACATTTTTGTTTTCTACCAAGAGAATGACAATTCTCCAATAGAAATTAAATGTCTGTACATGGCCTTGTACCCCCTAGACAGGACAGTGCTGGGGTGGTGAGTCTGCAGCTCTGATATCTCCCTTCTCCACAGACTGTTTGTTTGTTTGTTTGTTTGTTTGTTTTTAACCAACCAAGGCATGTTTTTAACCTAGACATGTTGGATATCTTAAAGCTGAAGGGAGGGCTACTGAGCACAATTCAGTCTGAATTAATGGTGAATGGGAAGAATGGGTTATATGAAGCTGCAAGGAAATGAGGACAGTAGCATATCTCCTTCCATCACATATTTCTGTCCACTCGCCTCATCTATGTCCTCAATGCTTTCCTCTGTTATTTAGGTATTTGTATAGGCTTCATCACTGTCGAGTTGGAGAGCTTCACTATCATTCACATGCTACTACTCCTCATCTCAGTTTGGTGCCCCTGTCCAAGTGTGTCCTAAAATCCTCCCTCACTAGTTGTCTTCTCTCTAAAGCCCCCATATATTCACTGCCCAAAACATTGTTTTACCAGCAGTGTCTCTTTTCTCTTGAACAGCAGATATACCTGTAGTTAAACCTCTGAATTCTTGGTTATGATGGGCCCATCGACACGTGCTATTAAGGCAAAGCAATAAACTTCAACACTTATTAAACCAAAGTTTATTGCTCCTGGGCACCACATTTACACATGGATCCAGGACTGCAGCATGTTGAGCTGGGTCAGGGCAACCCCCGGCTGGAAGGCTGGGACTGGGGGTCAGCTTGCCAGCCTGGGATTGCTCCAGCCAGAGGGGCTAGCTGAAGCATGACAGTCTCCAGTACAGGGCTCGTTCCCTGAACTGAAGCACTCTCAAGCTCCAACCAGTAACATCAGCATCTACACACGTAGTGCTGCAGAGTAAAAAGCTCCACAGCAAGATATTGCTTGTATTTACAAGAACTACCCTGCTGTTGAAATATTAGTTTCCTGTGACCTCATACAACTGCACATGTAGATGTGAGATGTTTACTGTGAAGCTAATTAGTCTACTGCAGTAAATGTCTTGTGTAGATATGCCCAATGAGTTGAAAAGAAATCTCTTAATATCAAACCTTCAAAATACACAGTTAAGATAATGTCCCCTATAAAACCTTAACTCTGCTTCTTACCATGTTTCATTATATTGCCGTGAGGTCTGTGGTCTTCTTGAGCAGCTTCAAAACAATTGGGAAAGCATGAGAATAATAAAGGATTATTGGTCACCCTTACCCGAGGGCATACATGCAGTGCATATTCTGTGTAATAAGTTGACTTTACTACATAGTAAAAATGGAATGGACCCACAATGCACAGCCCTACTATAAAGTGAATGACTTCAATACAGGTTAAAGTTACCCCTTGAAGTAATTATACCACATGGAACTTGTCATATGTACACTCCCCTAGTTAATTTCATTAACGTGTTTGCTCAGTGCAAACCAGCTTCCTGCCATTTAGTGGTCATGTGCTGTAATACTGTGGGCACCTACCTTGGGAGAGCCAGTTGTCTGTTTCTTCCTTACTATAGAGCAGGGATGTTGAACGCGTTCAAGTCCTCAGGCCAGATGAGAGTGGCTGGTCTGGTCTGCATGCTGAATTGGGACTGACTCCCTATGCTACATGCAGCATCTGTGGTGATAAACGTGATGAGCTGTTCTGGGGCTTGTGTTGCATGTAGTGTGTGGGCTGGATGTGGCACTGCACAAAGCACAGGTCATGGCCTGTATGCAGTGCCCAACCAGACTGACCCTGTGCTGGCTCTAGCATGGCCTGATTTGAACTGGTCCTGGAGCCAGTGGGCACACAGTACCCACTGCGTGGTGCCAGGTCCAGCCTACATGCCATATGAGTGGATGAGTCTGGAGCTAGAGCATGCCCCAAGTAGCACACATGGGATGGATCATACAGCTCCACAGGCCAGATCCAGCCCACAGGCCATGTTTGATGTCTCCGCTGTAGAGTAAATTTAAACTAATCCATGATTCCTCTGTTATTTGTGGTTAGGCCAGGCTTAGTGACCTAGTGAGCTAGCTGGTATGATCTACACATTACTTCAGACAAACTGCCAATGAGTTGCCAGATGTTAATAGCTATTTATCCTTGTCCTGTGCACTGCCTCAGGGATAATGCTTCAGTTATCCCCAGCTGAGCCTAATTATGTAGTATGGTGTGTATTACTGAACAGTTAAATTCCCTTAGGCAATAGTTAAAAGAAAGTGAATGGCAAATTATATGGCCTTTTAGTGGGTATTGGGGATGTGCATGAGGCTGTTAGAAAAGAGTGAAGCATTCTTGTTTCCTTGTCATCATGCTCTGCCTAGTGCAGTGTATTTTTCTATAGATATTTTGTCTCCTTGGACTTCCTACATATTGAAGGTAAAGAGGCCTTTTTGATTCCTTGAGAAACAACTGCTGCTTTCTTCAGTGGCAGAGCAGGCCGCAGGAAATTGCTGAAACAATCTCCTGGCTTAGTGCAGCCACGCTGAGCCCAGTGAGGCTATGTGTGTCAGCTTAAAAAAAGGCCGATCTTGGAAAATATAGGTCAGGTTCAGTCCTGTTACAACAACTATTGCCAAATGTGAGAGGTGAGGGTATATGGAGATGCCTTACCTCTTTCTGTGATCTTTCAGTCCTTCAGATATAGGTGCATTAGATATTCTGGAAGGGTGCAAGGTACTGCCTGATAAAATTAACTCTATTAATGAAAGTGTTGGGCAGGGAATTCCCTTGGTTTTTGAGGAAGTGATGGTAAGGGAGGCACCTGTTCTGGTAGAGATTAGAGGGCTGTCTGGACTTGTTAAATACTAGGGCAGGGCCAGTTGTGGGAAGAAGGGAATTTATTAACCAGTGGGCAATGACAGCCACATATGTCCTGAAGGGAGAGAGCATGGGGAAGGGAAAGGGTAGTATCTGACTCCCTATTGCACTTTGAGGACTATTGTGTATGGAAGGGGGCCTGCAGAATGCTGGAGGATCAAAGAGGATTGTGTATTCCTTTCTTCACTGTAATGGGGATTCTCCTTCCCCCTTTTTCCAAAGTCTCTCCTGGGTCATATTGTGAAATATGAATCTTTCTGTTCATATGCATTTTAGAGGAATTTTAAAATTTAAAGTTTTAAAATTTTAATTTAAAATAATTTTTTTTAGCTGCCAGTTGTATGTAAGAAGGGCCCTTCATTAAATGAGTCTAAACTTGGAATACTAATGTGAATTTTGCCCTAATGTGACACATCTATTCATGTGAATATTAGAAATATCCATGCTTAGGTAAAAGCATTCTTTTCACAAAACAAAACTTCCACAAATAACTCTTTTATAGCCCTGCACTTAAATAAGAATACAGGAAGAGAGTAGTAACATACACAGTTGATATTCTCAGGGGGGTGAAATATCGTCTCTGACCAACATAGCTGTGCCAGTAAAAAGCCCTGAGTGTAGATGGAGTTTTACTCCCAGAATTGTGCTTTACCTGTACATCTTGTTTCGTATACAAGGTGAAGTGGAGCAGAATAACTACCAGTGAAACTTCAGCATTGCCAGTATAAGCTGTGTCCACATTAGGTCTGCTGACCTGCTGAAGAACTTCTAGTTTAGAGATGTCCTCAGGAGTCTTGTAGTCCTTGGATGTGGTTTAGGTTCGGTGGATATACTATGTTGACACGTGCTATAGAGCGACATGGAGCATGTGTGTTACCCAATCAGGAAAAAATCTTGTGGCACATGTGCAGTTTGCAGTACATCAGTCAAGCTTTAGCCAAGCTTGTAGGGCTAACTTAAACTTCTTATGACTCCTTAAATAGTGTTTCTTGGAAGAAGCAACTGATTTCAGGCCTGATGAGATGAGGCATAAGCCTTTCCTAAAAGTTTTTCTTTGGAAATACCTTACTCAGATGATACCAAATATGGATAATAAATCCTGCCTAAAAACCCTAAGGAAGCATAGTATTTTCAAGCATATGGATGTGTTTCAGACCACTAAAAAAAACCCAACAAAATCTTCCACTAATAGTACTCACTTGAGCTTACATGAGACACTACTATGCAGTTGTTAATGTGCATTTATTTAGTACTTGTATAAATAAGTACTAAATGAATGTGCAGTAACCTGAGTTACTGTACAGTAGTGCCAACAAACACTTTTTTTGTGATGCTACTGCACAGTAGCTGAATACTAGTGCCCAGTAGTGTCACATCATGGTCTTTGTCACGCAACACTACTGCACAGTAGTATTGGGCTACTGCGCAGTCAGCATCTTGTATAGATGCGGCCATTATCTAGTCCCTACTGACAGTGTTTGACCAAGTTTGGGGATTCTGCAGTTGAATCACTCTGTTCATGGAAGGGAAGTATCTGGTAGGAGAAATGAAATCAATGTCAAGACAGAAGGGAAACATTTAGAAACCCTTTGAATTCAACTCTTAAAGTTGGATAGTGGGGCCTTGAACCATAATGAATGCTATATTTAAAAAATGTGCAAATCCTCTGAAGGGTTCTGCGTATAAGAATCTCTTTCCCAGTTAATTGTACCTGAGGATGTCAAGCTAATCCCCAAGAACAATTTAAAGCATTTCTTGAAAATAAATTCCCCCATCTTCTCAATCCCATTTTTGTGTTAAAATTTAAACAACATACCTAAAAATGTTTCTTTTAAATGGGATTACATCTTAATGTCATGGTAGGAAATGGAAGAAAAGCAATTACCTGGGTAGAATTTACTCCAGAAAGAATCTGCCTTCAAAACATTAACAGGTTATGGCAGATAGCTTATCCTGCCATTTTTCATATGGGCTTAACCTTAATGTGTGTAGTGTTGCTGATACATCTGAGCCATTTTGATGTAGTCTAAAAGAAGGCTATCTTATTATATTGAAATGATACTGCCTAAAGGACCTCTGTATGGAGCTCTGATGAGGCAAGTTACTACAAGAGATGAAATAAAGCCAGGTGCTTGTTAACCTCTGGGTGCTGGTTGTTATTAATACATCTGCTACTGTCAATAGATTTTTGAAGCTACAAACATGAACTTATGGCATCAAAAGATTCAGAGGACTTGAGAGAAAAAGATGGTATTTTTTAGGAAGAGGTGGACTCTCAAGAGCAAACCAGATTCAGTGACGAGTGGGAGTGGAGCAGGGGCCAATTTTAAGGCTGGTGGGCCCTTGGAGTTCAGCTAACCAGATGGTAGCCCCAGGCTGTTCCATCTCTAATTAAAAGTAATCTGTTGGAATTAATTATTTCAGCTTCTCAATTAAGAAGGCAAAATCTGTGGAAGGAAATCTTCCTCTGCAAAATAAGCAAGCTAACTTTTTAAACGAATGCAAGGATGCGTTTGGGGAGAGGAGACAGAATGGAATAATTTGATGTAATTATGGTTTGCAATTTGATAACGCTTCCTGATGACATGTATTTCTGTACTATGAATACTCTTAGCTGTTCAGTTTGTATTCACTTCAACAAAACACCACTCTTCAATATTCCCTTCAGTGTTCTTTCTTTTCATTCAGTCATTAGCTGACAGCTAAATCAGCACTTTCTTTAATGCAAACGTTGGCCTCCAGGATGCCCTCTGCTCACTCTTAGTAAAATTCACTGCTTCTCTTCAAGATCTTCCATGTCATGCCTAACACAATTATGGCTTTATTTGATCATTATTTTATTTATGCTTTTTTGCTGTTTTCCTCTCTCCACTTTTTGCCTTAACTACCATTTTGCCCCCCTTTTTAAAAAAGAAAACAGAGGCTGCTTTGGTTTTGTGATCGTTCTATGCATAAATTGCCTCACTCCACCTGTAGCTCTGCATTATTTTTTTAAAAGTTTAAATATTTTGGTAAAAGCATAAGTTTACTTGAGGTAAATAGGTAAGATCACACAAAAAGCGCAGTTTACTGAGAAATATCTGTATTGTGTCACCATGCTACCATGATGGTCAAACTAGTCTGCATTTCTAGTGAAAGTGTTGCTGAAATCAATAGTGTTTTGATGTGCTGTGTATATTTTGTGGCACAGAATATGTGTATCTCTTGGATTTATGTTATAGATTTTAACAGCTGTGAAGTGATTGATGTGCTCAAAACTAGTGTATTAATGAATTAGCTCACAAAAGAAACACACTTTTTTCCTTAATAAAATTAGATGTGGGGTTGTATATATTGAAAGCTTTTCCCACCCCAGTTCCTTTCTTCAGAGAAACTGGATAAATATTAGCTGCCATCTCATTCAGTAAATCATATGCATACATATTTTTAAGGGTCACTATTCAGTACCTGATTTTTAAGTACAATGACATTTATAATTTGTGTAGAGTATATAATTGTTTGTCAGCAGTTTTTGTAGCTTTTTAATGTTGATTTTATTTTCCAAATTTTTGCATAGGTCTGTAACCAGTGATGAAGGATCCATGAATGCATTCACAGGAAGGGGGTCACCTGGTAGGGGTCAAAAGACTAAAGTCTGTACCACACCTTCATCTGGTCATGCTGCATCTGTGAAGGATTCAAGCAGCAGATTGCCTGTTACAGACCCCACTCGGCCTGGTGCCACCACCAAAATCACCACCACCTCCACCTACATATCTGCCTCTACACTTAAAGTAAACAAGAAAACCAAAGGGCTCATTGATGGCCTTACTAAGTTTTTTACACCATCACCCGATGGTCGCAGATCACGAGGTGAAATAATAGACTTTTCAAAGCACTATCGTCCAAGGAAAAAGGTCTCTCAGAAACAGTCATGCACTTCTCATGTGTTGGCTACAGGTACCACACAAAAGCTAAAACCTCCACCTTCTTCACTTCTACCCCCAACCCCCATCTCTGGTCAGAGCCCCAATTCACAAAAATCCAGCACTTCCACCTCTTCTAACTCTCCCCAAAGTTCTTCCAGTCAGTCAAGTGCACCCTCCGTTGGTAGCCTTCCTAATAACAGTCAGCTAAAGGGACTCTTTGATGGACTTTCTCATATTTATACTACTCAGGGACAGTCTCGAAAAAAGGGACACCCAAGTTATGCACCACCCAAACGTATGCGTCGTAAACCAGAATTATCTTCCACATCAAAATCTAATACCCATTTCTATGGAAAGAAAGAGGTTAGAAGTAGGTTTATTTCTCATTCCTCTGCCTCTGGATGGGGTGTATCTAGAGGACGTGCTTTTAAAGCAATTGCTCATTTCAAGCGAACAACTTTCCTTAAAAAGCACAGGATTCTAGGCAGATTAAAGTATAAAGTGACCCCTCAGATGGGGACCCCCTCACCAGGGAAGGGGAGCTTGGCAGACGGAAGGATTAAACCTGATCAGGATAATGGTAAGCAAAGGTCAAAGCGCCAACCAAACCTGCGTCCCGTCCAAAACCAAAATTCTTATTTTGTCACATAGGTCTTAGCTATTTCTCTTGTTCTTCCTTCACTTCCATACAAAAGCAATAAAACTTTGACCTTTTTATCTAATGCTGACTAAACCTCCAAAATGTTTTTTCTGACTAATACTACACCACCTTTTTATTATTATTTATGCATCTGTAGTGGCACTAGGAGCCCCAAATGCCTTCATAACGTCGCTTATGGCTTTGTAGTACCGCATGAGTAGCCACTTTCATGCTACTTCCTTGTTCTTTCCCCTGCCCTTTCTCTGGCAGTAGTGCTGTCATTATGATTGTGTGCTATCAGTGCTTATAATAATGGGCATTTCAATTCATTTCCCTCTGCTCCATTGCTTTTTCATGACCAATTCCATCCTGCTGCAGTCTCCACAACACTTGATCTGTACTGCTGTGAAATGTCCTTTTTCTGATTATTTTTATTTAAGAGGAAATATATTTATAATGTCTGGATGTATTCTTAGCTTAGCATTGGTTTTCTAAGTTTTTTCTAAAAGGGGTTTTTGTTTAAGATAGCACAAAGGGGTACACTGGATTTTTATTTTATAGTGAGATAGCTGCTGAGATTTCCCAGGACATGTTCAGTAGAACCTATCACCTTAGTTATTTAGGCGGGTTGTTTTCAAAATTCATTTAATATAATTGAACTAGACTCTAAAGGCTTGCATGAAACAGGTGAACAGACACTTTGAATTGTTTCTTCAATGACAGAGGGAGGGGAAAAGGCATAGTTCCTATAACAGGTATAAAGGAATTCAAGTATAAAGTAGAAAGGGAGCCTCAATTGCCTGCAGTTCTGTTTAGGAGTACCACCCTGTTAAGGCATGTGTGGTCTTCATGTCTGTGAATAAACTTTCTGCTGGTTTTAAATAACAGATACTGAAATCAAATTAAGCATCAAACAAGAAAATACAGATGTTTTTCTGGTTGGAAGCAAGGACACTGTTACAGAGGAGGATTTGGAAGTTTTTAAGCAGGCCCGGGAACTTTCTCTGGAGGTAAGACTAGCTGCCAGTAATTTGGTAATCAAGTGTATATGTTAAATTCAATTACCTTTATAAATAACCATGTTCTTACTTTTTGCGAATTACTCATTCTCATATTTTGATATATTCTTTGACTTTCTTTTTAAATCTCCACAGAAAGCAGCCACTATGAGTAGCCACCAGATAAGCGTGTTGTTTTTGTGATGAGGCAGTCAAAACTGAGGGGAGGGTTATGATTAGTGCACAGTTTTACTACTTTTACATTGTCCTGTTAAAACTCACAAGACATTTTTAATTGTGTAAGACTTTTGTGGTATGAACCTCATTTGCTGGATTTAACTAAAGCTGTTGTAGTAGGTGGTGCTTTATTTGTTGTTATTTAACACTACGTATTTACATATATTCTGCTGAAGTTGGATTAATTTCTTGGCTGAAGAAGCTTCAGGCATGATAACTGGATTTTTCTCTGTCCCTTTGTCTAATGAAAAAAGACAAGATTTTTTGCTTAAGTCTAGTAGGTAGAAAGGTTTGTTTAATCAGAGGTGGAACTGGAGTAGAATTTGTGCCTCAGGCAAACACAGGTTAGAGGGAAGCACACAATAGCCCTTGCTACCACAGCCTTCCATAGCATTGTGTCATAAATAAGAACGTTAAGCTTTGCTTTTCCAGCTCTGCTTTTCTACATGGGTCATCTTTGACAGTTTTTTACAGACCCTTGCTACAGATTCAAATGGAAGCTAAATAGAAACTAGTTATAGAGTTGTTACACATTTGAAGCACTAACTTGAAAATGTGTAACAACTCTACATTGTTGTTGTTGTCAGCTCTTGAGCTGGTTAGCTCTTTTTATAGCTGGATAATAATATTTATCATGTAATAATTACTTTGCATGTGTGGCTGGTCTAAATTTATAGTGCAGTTAACCAGTTAATTGTATAATATATGTAATGTGTAGCAGGAGCCTCAGTAATCTTTTTCCATTTATGCAGCCAGAAGCCATTTATGCTTCCTGGATTAAGGACAACAAGAAGTCCTTTTTTTAAATACATAGGGAGTAGAAAAAAGGCCCCAGGAAATGTGGGGCCCTTGCAGGACAAGGCGGGGAATCTGGTTGTCACGCCAGACGACAAAACCAACATATTTAATAACTTCTTTGCCTCTGTCTTCCTCAGTAAGGACCAGAACC